AATAACAATACCTCAGAGAACAGATTTTCCTGTAAGTGTCCTGAAGCTTCAGGCCAGTTCCAGATACCACAGTGCAACTGCTGGGAGAGGGTGTAGTGCACTGTTGGGACAACATGAGCTCGTGGTGGCATAGGACTCTATCAGGCAGATGTTTGATGGAGAGTCACCAGATCTAGAAAGGGGATTTAGGTCACCTTCCTGAGACGTCCCCCCATCCCTACAATCATAGAATGGTTTGGGTTGAAAGGGACCAATCAATAGAGATCTTCCTGAGACGTCCCCCCATCCCTACAATCAGTAGAGACGCAGACCCCAATTAGAACACTTGTCTGCTCGTTCGTACCTTTGCGTTAGTAAATTCAATGTTTCTGGCAATAAAGTGTGGTGATCCAGGCTGTGACGTTGCTAGCACGCTCCTGTCTACGTTTTGGCTCAGGGTAACTAGTTCTTTTCCATGCAATTGTTGGGCTGGGTTCAGGAGCTGGCATATTCCAAGGGCAGTTCCTAACAGGCTGTTTTCCTTCACTCATAGAATGGTTTGGGTTGGAAGGGATCTTCAAGATCATCCAGTTCCAATCCCCCTGCTATGGGCAGGGACACCTTCCACTACACCAGGTTGCTCAAAGCCTCATCCACCCTGGCCTTGAACACTTCCAGGGATGGGGCATCTACAGCTTCTCTGGGTAACCTGTCCCAGTGCCTCACCACCCTCATTGTAAAAAGTTTTTCCTTGTACCTAACCTAAATCTTTCCTCTTTCAGTTTAAAGCCATTGCCCCTTGTCCTATCACTACATGCCCTTGTCAAAAGTCCCTCTCCAGCTTTAATCTGTTGTGGAGACAGATAGATTTAGGAATTTGTACTTTTGTGTAATTAACCTTGGTAAACTGAGTTTCTGGTCTCTGAATCAACCAGCACAGAATAGCCCGTGTCTATTCTAGTAACACTTTTTTACAGTTCATGTGTTGCCTGAATATCAAAAATAGGAACTGGGATCAGCTTGCTGCAGCAGGCGTAGCTGTACGAAATGGTCCGAGTTTCTCTCCTGCTGCCTCTGCGAGCTCTGGATAGCAGATATGCAGAACTGGGCACACTGGGTGCTTGAGCGTGGTCACAGCAGGGAGTAGCTGGTCCATCCCAGGTGTGATAGGACTCCATAGAAACGTGGCCTATGCTTTCTCTCATGCTTGAAGGGACTGGCTCGGATGTAATAGCTGGTGATGTGGAATTATACGCAGTTGCCTGAAAAGGATTTTGAATGGTTTGGATTGGAAGAGACTTTTAAAGGTCATCTAGTCCAACCCCCCTGCAATGAGCAGGGACATCTTCAACGAGGTCAGGTTGCTCAGAGCCCCGTCCAGCCTGAGCTTGAATGTTTCCAGGGATGGGGCATCTGTTGCTCTCTGAGCAACCTGTTATTTCTAGATGTGCACTGAATGTGTATGACATACCTGGTATTTACAACTTCTTTGTCAATATTGTAAACTATTTGAAGATCATTAGCCTTCTGTTGTCCACTTCCAGAGAAGATCGTGGCTGAGCTATTTCAGAGCTGGTCGACATAATGCGTCAGCATGCATCCACCTAAGAATGGCTATTGGTCTACTCTTTGCCTGCAGAGCCAGGCTCATCTTCTCTCTAAATTGGAGAGACATGGATTTGATGGATGGATCACTCGGTGGATAAGGAATTGGCTGGATGGTCGCACTCAAAGAGTTGTGGTCAACAGCTCGACGTCCAAGTGGAGGCCAGTGACGAGTGGTGTTCCTCAGGGGTCAGTACTGGGACCGGTGCTGCTGTTTAACATCTTTGTTGGCAACATGGACAGTGGGATCAAGTGCACCCTCAGCAAGTTTGCTGATGACACCAACTGTGTGGTGTTGTGGACACGCTGGAGGGAAGGGATGCCATCCAGAGGGGCAAACAGATGAGAAAGAACCTCATGACGTTCAACCAGGCCAAGTGCAAAGTTCTGCACGTGGGTCGGGGCAATCCCAAGCACCAGTACAGGCTGGGCGGAGAATGGATGGAGAGCAGCCCTGAGGAGAAGGACTTGGGAGTGCTGGTGGATGAGAAGCTCACCATGAGCTGGCACCATGCGCTGGCAGCCCAGAAAGCCAACCGTGTCCTGGGCTGCATCCAAAGAAGGTGATGCAGGGTAGTCAAGGGTCTCATCGCTAAGTGCGGTGGAGCTGAGTACTCACATGATCGTTACACCTACATTAAGACCACCAAAGCAAGGATGGAGTAGAGCAGAGGAATTCGTGCTCATCTTTAACAGTCACATGAGATTGGTTGTTGCGTTAACAACTACTTTAGCATATCAGCAACCAGCACATAGGAGTGCAGAAAGACACTCCCTGCCAGCCCATGGGTAGCACGAGACTTTTCTCTCCCTTTTCCTCACCTTGTGTGTCTGCCTTGCCTACAGAGATCACAGGCTCTTTAGGGGTCAGCCCATCTCTTTCTGCATGTTTGCATAATGCGATGCGTAATGAGGTTGCCAGGCACTGTGGTAACAAATACCATCACGCTGCTTCAAAGCTCACCTCCATCTAAACCAGCATTTTATGAGCAGCAGAATGAATAAATCCTGGTTTGTGGTCTGTCTTTGAAGTCCATCCCCTACGTGCATGGTACTACAGCCTCCATCCTTTGTCTCTGGTTCTGTAGATGCAAGCTGTGCTTGGGTTTGCTGATTGACCTGGGGGTCCATGTGGGCTGGTTGGCCAGCTGGCCTTACAATAAGTGAGAAAAGAACTTTACTTGGCTTTCCCTCAGTTGAAGATCACCGTATTGATGTTCCTCCTGTGCCCATTCACTGATTTTGAGGAAGCATGTTGTAATTTTCACCTCTGAGATTTCTACCTCTGCCACAAATATGACAGAAAGTAGCTAATGGGTTCACAAGTTGCTAGGGAGGGATCTGAGTGACAGACATGGACAGAGAGAGTTAGTGCATGATTTTGTTTCCTTTGGAAAGCAGTTAAAAACTTAAAGTCTACTTAGAGAGCAAAAGTGGATCCTAGGAAGAAGCCTCATATCTTCTGAGAAGCTTAGGATGAACTTTGAGTTTGTCAGTAATGTATTCACATCTTTAATCCAGTTCTTTAAAGACATTTCCTCTTCCTTTCTCTCAACTCTTCTTGCATGAGGGATGTTTTAACAATGGACTGCAGAGAAATATACGTGGACAAATAGGTGACATTCACTGAATGGGAACGAAGGGGACACAGATGAGCCCGTTCGCGTGTTGCTCGTTCAGTGCAACAGTTTAGTGAAGAATAGCATCCTTCAAACAGGTGGTATCCCTGGGCCTTTGGCAGTATTATCCAAGTCCAAGAAGGGCTGAGTAGTAGAAGAGAGGGAGGGGAATGAAGAATTACAGGAAAAATAAAAAGTAAATGTAGGTAGAATCAAGACTAAGAAAGGATGGAAAGCTGGAGATGGGATTTGGCTCATAGATTAAGATACCTACATTTAGGAGTGTCTTCACGTGTACTAGATGTTTGTATTCCCATCAGTGGAGATCTAGTCAGGTAACAGATGCCAAAGAGACATTCAGCTCATCCTAAAGCAGTCACCCACCTTTGGCATAGGGAAGGGCTGTCCAAGCTCTACTGGAGTCTGCACTGACTACAGCAAGGACACAGTCACCCTGCAGATGTGGTGGGACCTTAACATAGGTGTCTTAGGAGGAGAAACACACCCAGGAGACCGTTGCAACCAGCAGTTATATCAGAAGACATTTTTTTTCTGTTTTTGTTGTGGGACTACATGAATGGGAAACGTAGTACTGGGTGGGCAGGGAGCTGCACTCATCCTTGCACATGAAGGGTTCATTTGCTACTGGACCCTGGGGACAACAAATAAACTTCTGCAGCTTAGCCTCCCTGTCTAAGCGGATGACCGATGAAGCGTGCATGTCCATACTGAAGCTTTCCTGAGCCTCTGGCCACAATCCAATTATTTATTTCCATAAAAGTAAAAACTGAATATCTCCATGACCATTTGTCAAATTTGGTTGAAACTGATTGAGATGTTCAAAGCTATTATGAAAAGGGATTGACTGGCAGTACCCTCTCACACAGAATTTGTTTCCAGATAAACCAGGCTGAAAATGAATAACACAACCCAAAGGTGGTTGAGTGGAACAGGGCGGGAGGAACACAGCCTGCAACTTAGAGGTCCCATTGCCTTAGAGGTCCAGAAATTAAGACAAAGGCTTTGATTTCCAAGGAAAATTGCCCACTTTGTGGAGGGCTTATATCACCACTGTTAGGATAGCTCCTGGCTTCCACTGGAGGCTTAAGGACCTAAACACTCTCTGGGACTATGTCTGAGCATGACCCATCTAAGGTAGTAACACATTTGGGTTTTCTCCATCCCCATTCTCAGATGAATGTCAATTTTTAGAGAGAAATTGAAATTGATTGCTTCAAAACTGGAAGGATGTTGGTGGTCTGTTGGGAAGAACTAAAAAACGCACAAGGAGTCTGTGGATGGGAACCAGAGTATGTGTCCCGTGTTGAGTTGCAGAACATGAGTTTTGATGTTCCTTTCTAAATATTTTTGATGTTCATTTCTAAATATTTCTAAATATTTCCATGCTAACTGCGAGAGTCAGGAACTGCTTCCAGGTAGCTTCAGTGCAAAGGTGAAGCTGTAGAGACAAAAAAGTATCTACGTTTTCCAAAAAAAGCATCACGGTGACATCTGCGGCCAGCTTTTCAGAGGGCACCTAAGCACTGTCACACAAGTAGCAGGTTGTCCTGTGCCCAGGACTGGCCGAATTTGAATTTCATTTGAACTTCTTCTAATGTGCGAATGAGATGAGATCAAAAATGAGCTGTTGGGAGCTGTTTTCTTTGTAAACTTGACTGGGTGGAGGCAAAAGCCCTTCCAAGTAGACTTTGTTGACCAATGGGTGATTTCATTCCCACATTACCACTACTTTCTTCTTGGTTAAATTCCTGAACACTTTTCTTTTTTCATTTTCAGAAACGAGTTCAGACCCTGGATAGATGTCAAGCCTGTGAAAGCTATAAAAGCAAAGGCCCAGTACAAGCCACCAGAGGAGAAAATGACCCATGAAACTAGTTACAGTGCTCAATTCAAGGGGGAAACCAGTAAACCTGCTCCAGCCGATAACAAATTCCTGGAGCGCAGAAGGATACGCACTCTCTACAGCGAACCCTACAAAGAACCACCAAAGGTGAGAAACGTGGCAGAAGGGAGCCAGGGAAATCGCTGCCCCTGGTGGGACATGTCCAACACAGTAAGGCTGGGCTGAACACTGCCTACTGTCATTCCTCTTATGTGGCATCTTCATTTCCAACTAATGGGTGCATCTGGGGATTCACCTTGGAGATGGTGGTGAATGAAAAACTGAATATGAGCCGGCACCGTGCGCTGGCAGCCCAGAAAGCCAACCGTGTCCTGGGCTGCATCCAGAGCAGCGTGGGCAGCAGGGCGAGGGAGGGGATTCTGCCCCTCTGCTCTGCTCTCATGAGACCCCACCTGGAATACTGCGTTCAGCTCTGGGGTTCCCAACACAAGAAGGACATGGAGCAGTGGGAGCGGGTCCAGAGGAGGCCA